AGAACGCCCTAGCATCGTTTCGGTAAGTTCAATTGGTTTTCAATGGCTTAGTTGTTCACACCTTAATGTGACCTTGATGTGGCTCATTTGATGTAGACCAGTATGTAACCAACTAGCAAAATATTTAAAAAATGCCATAGCAACCATCAAGAACACCCTAGCAACCAAATAGCAACTCCCTGGCAGCCATCCAGAACATCCTAGCACCATTACGACAAGTTCAGTTGGTTGTTCACACCTTGATGGTGCTCTTTTGATGTAGACCAGTATGTAACCAACTAGCAACCACCCAGAAGACCCGGAAAATGCCCTAGCAACTATCGAGATCATCCTAGCAACGATATAGCAATGCCCTGGCAGCCATCCAGAACATTGTAGCGTCACTACAGCAAGTTTCATTTGGCTTCCATTGGGTTAGTTGTTCACACCTTGATGGTGCTGCATTTGTTGTGTTAAGACAATGAACGGCTATTCAAATATCGCAAACTGCTACCGACACTGGGTTGTTGATGCCACTCAAGGGAGTCTTTGGTTGTGTGTCAGTGACCTAATCAATACTGAATTGGATTGGTTGGAAAATCCAGTGTATTTTAAGGCACCAGAGTGTGTCAGCTTAGTGTCACGGCACTCTATATTTCCAAGTCAGGCGCCTTTTAATTGAATTCAACTGGAGCGAGACAAGATGGGTAAATATAAGACATATGTTCTTTGCACCTTATTTGCTGTAGGTGGTGATTTCGAATAATGTCTTTTGTGTTGTTCTGGAGGTTGGGCAAACTGTTTTCCCTCTTTCGTTTCATGTTCCTGATGATGAGGCAAAGTCATTTAATTAAACATTTCAAAAGCAAGAAGACCCTGAGGTCCTAAGACACCTCAGAATACCTAGAAAATGAATATGCACACACAGACCTGCTATTCACTGCTTTGGAAATGTCTTTGCAGTCGTGTCGTCAATCTGACCTTTGAGATCTTCCTTAATAAAGGTGTTATAGATTTTTTTCCCACTTAGAGCACTTACATATAATCAAATGAAGAAGAACTTATGGCTCAAAAGTGTTTCGCTATACTGGTAGCCTGAAGCACATCCACAGTCTATGATGTAACTCTGCAGATAACTTCGCCTGCATTTCCTCCTGACTGTATATGAATCTCAAGGCTTTCATCACTTGGTCCTGGCTCGTGCCTTTAACTAAGGAAGTGGCTGTGATGGTTTTGATCCTGTGTTCTCCCGCTGTTAAAACTGTTTTCAGGATGTATAGTCTATGTGGCAGGTAGATCACACACAGAGAAGTGATAATCTCAGTGAATGACATATTTTCTGTTGTATGAATGTAAAAACATCCCACACAAAACATTACAAGCCTTTAGTTAAGCATGATGAGTTTAAGCTTACTAATTTGGAAGAGTGCTGTCACCATGAAAGCGTGGAAACTCTGAAACATCCTACATGAATTAGGACCAATAAACGGTCTTGGCATTTTATTCAGAAAGATGAAGGTTTATCTTGAGTGGATCATGATCAGTATAAGACATTAAAATGCATAGATGCATAGAAATTAAAAGGCATAGATTTAGGTATACACACGCACACACACACACACACATATATATATATATATATTAGGGGTGTAAATCGGATGGTTCGTCACGATACGATACGATATCGATTCTCATACCCAGCGATACGATATTTGCAGATACTTCAAAAAATTGTACGATACGATTTCGATACGATTCGATACAGGAGAATATTGATCGATATATCGATACTATTATATTATATACCTATTTTAAACAACCATCTAAATTTTTATTAACTCACAAATGCAACCAAAACATATAACATGAACATTTATCTTAAATTTCCACATCCTGTTCTTCATTTGGGACATTCACAACAAAAAATAGACCTACACTTTTTTTTTAATAATAAAGAAAAATAAATAATTGAAAACAAAATTAAGTCACACACAAGATCAGTAATCTTAAGAGTCAAGATTTCAGGTTTCTGTGCTAAAATATGCAATGTGTAAAATAATGTAAATCCTCATTAGGAAACAACACGAACGAGGTACTCCAGTTGTAGAAAAAATACATTAATGTAGAAAAAAAATACAAAAAATTAAAAATAAAGCTGTTAAAACTTTATTTGATACTTTTTTGGTTGCTACTATGGGCTCAGTGCTAAAAACCTTTTTTACAGATAACCAAATTACAAGCAATAGCAGAAAATAAATGCAATATAACAAAAACAAAAACACAAATTAAATAAACAGTGCTTTTCAGGTTTTTCAGGTAGATCTAAAATAAATTTTCAGGTACAGAAATTTAATAATCAAATGTAAAATAGCACTGCATAGTCTTCACTGTATAGATTAAATATAGATTAATCCTTATAAAAGTTGTTCAGT